CGCAGGGTACGTTCATATCTGGCAGGTTACGGAGCCTCAGTCATTGAAGGCCAGTTGGGAGGCTCTCCGGTCCGATGAGTAAGTATTCGCAGGCAATGTCGGAGTAACATTTTCAGGTCTGGTTGTGCACTTATCTTAACTAGGTTACCTATAAAATGGTCTTATGTCATCATAGTGTCATGACGCTGTGGGTGCCGTCTGCCCTCCTGACCAGTTTTGGGGGTTTTGAACTGATGTGCAGGTAAAGTGCATGGTGACGCGCCCGTTTGATTTCGAGAAAAATCCCCCAAGCAAGCCATACTATACAACTGGTTCCAGGTGAACTACGACTTAACCGGGCTGGTCGACTATGGGGAGAACTTCAGTCCGCGCACTCGGACAGTTAAATTTTACTGAGGAATTTCCTGCCCGAGAAAACAAAATGATTATTGTGTAAGAAAGGGCAGAGGCTTGAGTGCGGAACAGTTCTCAGATTCGGCTGGACAGCGCGCATGTGCGCAACAGTTTCCGTGTGGCGGCAATAGTTCCTCTATTCCCCGCCTCCGGTTTTCTTGACTGTCGTGACACCGGATCCAGGTGGTGAGTGGGGAAGAGTGTGCGGTCGATGCTGCGCACGTCTACTGTCACTATAAACTAATTCACACGCAAGTCACTGTGCCTGTGGCACGTTAATGTGTAGCACATGGTGGACATCGTTGGAATCGACGGTCGATCTGTCGTCGGGCTCGGTCATGTCCCACATGACCTCAACGTGCATCACGCCCCATACACCCTTTTTTACACCTGCGTCGCCCGAAGGCATTTGCCAAATGTTTTCGGCCAAGCTCAGGAGTATGTCCAGACGTGAACCAAGCGCTCTCTGAGCTGTCAGATATGCAAGGTTCCCTGACTTGCCAAGTCGCCAGGGTGCACACTCAAATCTCCCGTGAGTGCCTTGGCCAAGAGCACATGAGCGTTGGCCCTCCTTTTGCCAATAAAGGGTACTAGTTCTTGTTGGCTTCGATTTCGTATGCGAAAGCGCACCCTCTGAATATTTACGTCTAAGCCTTAATCAACGTCGCTAGGTTGTCTATATTCCGACAGTTTGTCCATCACAAGCAGCGGTGGTTTCTGCGTCATTTGAGTTATGGTGAAGGCTTGCACCACGACTGTCTGGCTCTCCTTCCTAATTATCCTGCCCCAGTGGCGAAAAAATTGACAGGTGGATGTTGACCCAACGACCAACCAAGTATTTGGTCCTGCTCAGATGCCACCCCTCCCTCCACTCCCCTACTGGCCCGGAGGTCACGTCCCTAACATGCCGTATGACATCATAAAGTGTTGCAGCAACCTGGCACATAAACGACTGTCATAGAGCCAGTCAGATTGACTACATTCTAGTCAGCTCAAGATTCCGCAGCTGGGTTCATGGTAGATTATCAATGCGCGCGGCCGAGACTGGTAACGCCCATGGGCCGGACCATTTCCTCGTTCGTACACGCCTGAAAGATCACCTCTCATCCGCACCAAAAGTGCCACGTCCTAGATGCCCCGATGCCGAGACCCTGAGCAGAGAAATCCGGTCATATTTTACGACCCGAGCCGACGGAGAAGGCAGTTACCGGTGGTTGTCACTGAACACGTCAGTTTATGGGGCAGTTGAGAAAATCCTCAGATATACCCAGCGACGCTGTAGTGACTCGATCAGCTGAAGAGCCCTGCAGCTGTCTGCTCAGACGGCTCAAGCTAGGTCCACCAACGAAGATTCCGTCCGCCAACTCTGGATGACAGCAAAGTCAGCCAGGGATGTCCGGAAGCCATACTGAGTTGAAATTGCGACCTCCATGGAACAAGCCTCGAACGTTGGTGACACTCGAAAACTCTACTAACATATCTGCCAAGTTAGTGGTAAGCCCCCTACACTGAGTGATTCTGTTCGCGACGTGATTGGCGGCCTTATTGCTGACAGCTCGAGCAAAGTCGAGCGCTGGCGTGAGCATTCCGAACACCATCTCAACTTCGGTACCCAACCCACCGCGCCCTTGCTCACCTCTGCAACGGAGTTTCTTCCCTCCAACCTATGCAGTGTCATGCAATCCCTCTTCTGAAGAAGTTGCAGATGCCATGCAAAGGCTGCACAGCAACAAAGCACCCCGAGAGGACGGTATATCCGCTGAAATCTACAAGTTTTGCGTCGACACTGGCGTCCTGGCTCCATGAGGTGATTGAACAGGCGTGGAGAGACTAGGTTGTTCCTGCTGACTGGGGCTCAGGCCTCCTTGTACCTATGCTTGAGAAGGGAGATAAGAGAAGATGCGAGAACTGCCACGACGTAGGCCACACCGGCGTTGCGGAGATCTTCGCTATCGCCCTACTCAGGCGACGCCAGGCTGCGCGTGACTCAAGGACGAGGCCCAACCCAGCCGGATTTTGTGCTGGACGTAGACGTTCGGACCAGGTATTCACTGAGGCGCATTCTCGAATTCCGCCATACCAGCAACCGATGGTAGTTTGCTTTGTTGACTTCACCGCCGCGTCCGATTCCGTCCGTCGTCAGTCCCTGTGGCAGATGATGGCACTAGATGGCGTACCGCTAAAAAACCATCGCCATGACCAAGGCATATTATCGCTCCACCACTGCGAGGAGTCTGATCCACAACAATCTTTTTTAACCGTTTGGTACTTGGTCTGGCGTTCGACAGAGTTATGTCCTGTCGCCCATTCTGTTCAGCTACGCCTAATGACTGGATATTCGGGAAGACCCTACATGATGGCGGCGGTGTTGAGTCTGCAGCCGGACACCGACTGACTGGTCTCGACTACATCGATGAAATTACCTTACTTGCTTCAAGTTCTGGTGATCTGCAGTCTATGATGTCACGGGTGAACAGGGTCGCCAAGTCCGTCGGTTTATCCGTAAACGTTGGGAAGGCTAAAGTGTTTTCAAGTTGCATTCCTGACCAGGAGAATTCGGCCCCTAGTATTGGTAGTTTTAAATACCTCGGGCGTGGATGCATTCGTCCAGACCTGCTTATGTGGATCGTCACGCGCGGAGAGGTACAGTTCAAGACATCATCGAGGCCGGCTAGATCAGGCATGATCGCGGCTGTACCAAGTACAACAACCTGTCTTCCAGTCTAGAAGAGTAAACTTCCGTCGAGCGGCGACCTTTGGAGTCCACTTGGTACTATGAAATTTAGCAAAGGATACGCCTCAGCGTCTCAGCTCACACCTGTGATAATTGTCATGCCACTGGGCAGGACGAGATAGGACTTGGTGACTAATGTGGCGTAGGACCTCTGTTCCACGTGTGCCATATCGCTTGCCCCACCCCAATTAGGTCAGGCGGAACAGCGCTACCCGCATTTCGGTCCAGAAGGACGGACACATACCTGCAGTCTTCTTCTGTGATTGCCTCTCCCTGCGCGTTTTCCAAACGGAACTTCGCTCGTCCGATGGACTACCTTCAACTAGTCACCCTGAGGAAGATTCTTCAAAACTTAACACTATCTATGGGGCCAGCCGTTCTAATCCCTGAACAGAAGAAGTCTGCATTTGATGTGGAGAAGCTTGTTAACCTGGTCACCTGTTTGTTGGACTTAAACTTGCCTGCAACACATTACAGCCGTCATATAGAGGCCCTCTCGAAGTCATCGCTCTCTAAGCTACTTTCCATTGCTCGCAAGGACTGTCAGCATCTACTTAATTAAAGCGGCACATCCCATTCCCGAATCAAAATCCTCACCTTCGGTTTTGTCCGGCCCTTGTAGGCAAAGTAGCCGTGTATTCTTTCCTTTTACTAGTTACCACATCTGCTGTTGATCTCATTAAGGACGACGGTTATCCAGTGCCTAGAGTCGCAGCTAAAAGCATTCGCTGGACATATTGGATAGTATCTACTTTTCCTTGCGCGTTCGTTCCACAAAATCTGATTTCGACCGTTACCATCTGGAAGGTTTGGTTGATTGGGTTTTGTCATGGAATCTACTAAAATCATCCCATGCTGCCAGCGTAGCGGGATGTTCGACTAACAGGTTTGAGGATCAACAATTAGGGATAGGAGGAAACCAATGCCTTCCGCCGTTCCGGCAAGCGCCCTATATGAAGTAAGGGAGCCGGACAATTCAAACGGCCCAGCAATAATCATGTCACTAGGACTTGCTCTCAAAGTGTTGGGAGTGGCTACAATCCCAAAAACAAGAGCCAGCCAATCACTGGAGGCCGCGTTCGCTCCCTCTAGCGCGCTGTCAGCATGATACCGGCGCCTCGCCAGTGGCTGCTCCCTCGAGCCTGTTTGATCCGTGTATGTGAGTAATCAATCAGCCCGTCTAGAATTTTCTCGAAGTGCGTTGAGACGAACGCAGGCGAACTCCAGTAGGATGTTACAAATACGCGTTACATTTCCTGTGTGACTTGACTTGCGGTTTTCTGGTACACTTTTTGTTACCGGTCGTGTTCTCCTTCTCCGCTGCGTTAGTATTGAGGACAAGAGTCGAGTGCGCGTACGCTTCGCGTGATTTCTAATTATCAGTCCGGGTCATAACGCAAAGACCCTAAAAAGCGGCTGATTGGCACATTTGAAATTGGTGTACTTCCTGCTCGGTAAGCGTTTGACCCCATCACAACAATGTCTCATACATTTGGGGAATGCCGCGACCATCCATGCAACGAACGGGCACGGTTCTGGAATTCTGTTCGTGCTTAGGAGAGTAATGGTTTAAAGTCTGGCATAAATACGAAAGAGGCATTTGTGCAGAGAAGGCATGCGATACAACTTTTCAGCTGCTCGGTTCAGTCGTTTGTGTGCTAAACAATTCTCAGATGTTAGAAGGCCACAAAGGTTGATTAAGCTGGTTCCACGAGGTCTAGACGGCCGCAAGACGTAGTATAGCGACGGGAAATCCGAGCAATAAATACTGGGGAAAAGCTAACCACTTGAAATTGTAAGATTCTTTATTTTACCCCTTCTCATCTGCAGCATATCGTACTAAAATTACAAAACAGAGCAATGGGTTACAAAATCAGACTTCAAAGTAATCGAAATCTTCCGGAATTGAAAATTGCTTCGAAAGAATGTCTTCGTCGACGCCAAATTTGTCGCGAAGCCAAGATTTTAACTGGAAAACATTATCTAAAAAAGTAAAATAAATCATCAAACACAAAAGAACAGAGCATATCACGGTACGGGTTACGAAATGGACCGCAAGTCAACCAAGCGACAGTAGTTAGCAAGCGCAGGTGTGCTCATTATAACGGCCACCGAGGGCCGAAGGTAAAGGGGACGGACAGGTGGGATTGCACCGGAAAATAATTCAATGTGAAGGAACATGTACTGGTACATGAAAGTAAAACATGGCTTATGTATGAGCAAGCCTACCGTCTGTTGTATTTATGTAAGGACTGCTTATAAATCCTGTACGAGGACTTCGAAATGTCAACGTGTGTTCGAAGAATAATCAGTTTCACCCTTAAGGAAAAGTTTGAATGCTCTAAAGGGCGGCTTATCGTCAGACAAAGTGTACGGTCTCCGCTAGTGGAGCCTCGAAAAACGTCTACGGAACGACCAAAACGCATGCCGATATCCGACACTTTGCGAGCACCGTACAGATTTGAAAAGAAACGTACCGGTCCACCGATTTACAGACTCAACAGCTTGTTCAGTTCTTACATTTAATTCGTTTAACCGACTGGGATGGAACTTCTTCAATGTTGCAAGTTTCGCGTTAAGTTTTTCCAGAGACTCTTTATTGGCGCATAATAAGGCGAGTGCTTCGTTTCTTTCTGCCTGCAAATAAGACGAAAGAAGTAGAAAGACAAACCGTCTCCTCTTTTCCGATCCGGGACTTAGAAAGGCATTCGTTTAACGCATGGAGACGAGAAGTCGCCTTTCCTATATCATTTTGCAGCTCTTCTATCTTTTTCCGTCTCTATGTATAAGTCTCGTAAGTAGCGAAGTCAGGGTACGCTTTGGGCCGCTTTACTGGGGAATGCCCAAAAATAAACAGATGTGCCAATTTTATCGGTGTCAACCATGCAATCGTAAACTAGGCCCATTAGCACATCTTTTACCGTCATTGACGGTATACCCTTCTCTTTCTGACACAGACGCTCCAATTCTTTAAGTGTGAAAAAGTCGGACTGCAAATTTGACACACTTAGATCAGGAAATACCTTCTCGTAGAAAAACTCCATCATTTTCTGGCGCTTTTCTTCTAGAGAAAGGCCCCTCTTTCTAGACATTGTAATGCGACAAGCGCGGGCTACACGCAGATTTGGGACTCTAGACGTTTAAAACAATTGTTGGAAAAGCTCAGACGTGCCTGCTATCTCCAAGGTTAGATGAAGTAAGCAGAAGTTTAGCACTGTAGGTTCGCGTTGCAGCAGAAAGTAGTGCATGACGTGACTACCTTCACAGCAGCAAGCTATGGACGGAATTATTACGACAAGGGATAAACAGTTGTTGTCGAAGATTTAGGGACTGGCGAACACTCGGATATGCAGAAAGTCCCCGACTGAATGCCCTGCTTCGAATATGCCAAACGAAGTCGTTACTTTTGTTGTGTAAGCTTGGTATAGTATAATGTACATTTCTGTTGATATATGTTGGCATGCGTTTTCTTCGTTCCCGTTTGATAGCTATCTCGAAAACCTAGAACACTTGTTGTGACCGAGCGGTGTCAGTGTGCAGTCCGTCGGCTAAACTCATCAGGTTCAATCCTATGTTGGACGGAGAGGACAGAAGGCGCCAGAATGAGGAGTTTAATGTATACAGAATCTCCATCATTTGCCTTACGAAACCAGGCTGACTGAACTAAATCTGTTTCCTCTAAATTACAGGCAACTGCGCGGCGATCTCATTCAAACCTACAGGATTGTCAGAAGCCGAAAGTGTGCCCTAGATTTTGATGAATTCTTTGAATTGGCCCGGACTGACCGTCTGCGTGGTCATCCGTTCAAACTGCAAAGGAAGCGGGCTCATTCGGACGTCCGACGGAACGCCTTCTCACACAGGGTCACCGGGGCATGGAATGGACTCCCTGATGCCGTCGTTCTTTCCGACAGTGTTAAATCCTTTAAGTGCAGACTAGACGCTCACTTGTTGAGAACCTACTGTACATACAATCATGATTGTTTTAGCGGCGGCAGTTTGCGCCTGGCTCACACTTACCGCTAACTTCTTAACTTTTCGCATTTGCTGATGTAATTGATGACTTTATTTCTGTTTATCGACATGAATAGGGTGCTCAAGGGCGAAAGCCTCATTCCCTTAATAAACTGACTTAAACTGACTTAGAAAACGGAGCTCACCTCTCAGACGGCAGTGGCCACTGGCGAAGCCAGGGCAGGTGTTGACTGCGTCCAGTCATGCCTGATAGTCCCTGAGATAATGGTGGTAGCCGCTTTTTTAGACTCGTGGGCCAAGCTCAAGCGGTCTCCAGTCCATGCGTGTTACATTTGTCGAGGGGTGGTGTCGCAGTGGCTTCGGTTATTGTTGCTGGTGGGTGGGCGTTCAGGTGGCTCATGGGTAGCCGCGATGGTGTCAGTACGCAATTGTGTCCGACCGGAAGTCGGTCGAGTGGCTTCAGGTCAGAACGTCCGGGACTGTTCGCTGCAAGGGATGAATGACCCTGAGGCAACGAGTTCTTGAATAATGACGCCAGGCCGGTCATTAAGGTCCTCGAGTACGTGTACTGAGAGAGTTGTTTTAGAGCCTTCCTTTCATGAGCGTAATTATGACATTGATGACAGCGAAATGTGTAAGCATTTTATAACGTCTTGCTACCTCGTCGAAAGTTCGTCACAACTATGCACACTGACATTGGTGGGGAGACACCTTATCTTAAGGAGTTACTTATAGACGTCAATTACAGTATTTTCATAGAAAGCCCATTCTTTAATAGCAAAGAAGTCTGATTCTAGGCTAGAGTCTCGGCATCCAATCTCCGCTGATGAGTGATTGGCTCCCAGCGCCCCTGGCTATCGTGTCGCTAAGAGCGCGAACGAATGCGCGCATGGTTGCTGACAAATCGATCGGCCGAGGAGCTTGCTTTGTGCGATCTCTCGGCACGCCACTTTTTGCTCATCCACATTACAGTGCGCACATAGTTACTGCATCCACGGTGTTCTTTGTTCGGCGCGTTCTATAACCACTTTCTGTTTTTTGTTAGAATGTTGAAGAAAAGGTCAAAGAGAACATTTAGGAGACCTGTTGATGCTTCGGTTAGGAGACGGTTAATGTGAGTCGTAGAGAATATGAGATGAATGTTTCCGTTTGACTCAATATCATCATTACTGGGTAGTTTCTCGTCCTTCATCTCATCCAGCGTAACCATATCTTCCTCTTCTGACGATGAGATGCGTTTTCTCGATATATCATTGAACACGGGGCCCGACAAAGGTACAGGAATCCTGCCAACCGAAGTCCCTGTAGAGGAGCACAGTGTAAGGCATGCAGTTAAGTCGTGGGCAGTATGCTCACACATACCTCTAATGCATCCGACCAGTCTTCCGAGGATTATGACAAGGCTGTCGTTAAACCTGCCCTCGGACGCGCCAACACTGGTGGGTAGGGTAGGCAATTCGGCAACGGTAACGACAATGGGCAGTGGTGATTACGTCCATTTAGGACTTTACAGCAGTTAACTAATCAGTTACGTGTCTCTTCCATGCATATTACAAGCGGTCAGGTGGTTGTCTATTTAGCTATTGATGGCCTCCCTATAAGTAGGAAAACTAAACGCGAATTTCGGCCAATGTTAATTAGAATTATGAAACAACTTATTAGTGGAATATTTGTTCCAGGGATTTATTGCAACCTTAGTAGGCCCTCGGATGTGCAGTTGTTTTGCAGACCGCTGACTGGCGAGCCATTATCTCTGGCAAGGTCGGATCGGCGTATCCATGTTCTCGACCAAAAATTGCATTCTCTTTGGCCGCTGCAATTTGTGATGCACCAGCCAGGGCATTTATAAAGCAAATTAAAAACGCTAATGCCTTTTATGGCTGCGAGGGATGTTGTGTTAGAGGTGAGTACGCAGACAAAGTAATTTACGACTGCGTGCCTCATCGTGCCGGGACGGACGGGGATTTTTTATCCACCACTGACGACTGTTACCGCATCAGCACTTCGCCCTTGTTTTTTTGCAAAGTAGGTATGATAATTTATTTCCCTCTATATACTCTTCATTTAGTTTACCTAGGTGTGATGAGAAGAGTTCTTAAATGTGGCTCAAAAGTCCAAGAAAAAAGTCTTCAGGTTATGGAACGCAATAATAAGCATAGCAAAGCGTTTAAGGTCAAAGTCAAGGCGTGAAGCTCGATTTCAAAGATAAGTGAAGCTTTGCCTAGACTTTAATATTCCTAGGCAATCAAGTTTTGTTTTTTTTTTTATTTGAGTCCTTCTTGAGTCCTTGCTTTGTTGGGACCCCGACGGGTCTTTAATAAAAAAGTATCTTATCTTAACTAAAAGTCGCATTTTATTGCCAGGTATAATTTCTCACAGCCTTGTTATACAGTCTGATAAAATAGCCGTGTTTTGCGAAGCGCCTATTTAGTGACGCCGCGCCACACCGTCTCCTTCTAGATTTGTGGCTTGAGTTTCAGAGCCGCACAAGCTAAACAACTACGCTCGCTCAGCCGTAATGCGGCGATATTAGTTACCCTTTTCTCCTGGATAGAAGTCGACTTTATCTTGTTGAGGAGGGGGATAACTAGAGAATTCTGCCCTAAATGTCGCAGCTCAGTATCGCCGGACCTTACACCAATTCAGCGAAGACTGGACAAACTGAAATTGTCAAAAACCAACACCGACATAATGACACCTATTGTCAGTTTAAATAGGTCTTATTCATCATCATCATCATCTGCGGCCTCTGCACGTCACGGAATGGTAAATTCCGTAGGGAACTCGACTAATCTTGATGCTGAAATCTTTAAACGCATCAACATGTCTGGTATAATAACTTCCATATCGACTCCTCCGGCAACCCCCATTAGACCTAAGCAATTACCTTATTCAAGGACGAATCCGGGTGCTGTTTCAGGCACCCAAAAACCGGGTAAATCCAGTTCTTTTAGTAAATCTTTTCCTCCACAATCGCCTGTCATTGCCTCAAACTCCTCCGCCTCACACAGAGCTTGTTTTCAACTACCCTCCCGACCCCATATTGAAGCGGTTAAGCTGAATATGCCGACATTCTCCATTTTTAATAGAATTCCTGCCCCAATGGAAACAGTGCATCCTACATCCCTCATCACTTTTCCTCCACAGCCGTTTTACCAATGCATTCCTCATGCCAAGATCTATACTGGATCAGTTAACTCGCCCATTTCTCACTTTCACTGCGGCGGCAATGCGTTATAGTATCCGGCCAGTGGAGTTCCAGCAGTAAATGAGTCAGCCAACAATAGTAATCAGTTTCCCTGACCGTCATTTCCTCCCCCAAATCCTACCCCTTTTTCACGTCAGGGTCTTTTGATGGCACAAAACTTTTGCAGAACCGGACAGGTGTATCTAGACTGCTGACAGCCAACCACTGAACGATGTAGCCCCCCCCCCTTCTTGGAAACAGACAGTCTTCCCCTGAAATTTTTTGTCCTAAATGCCAAATCCTTGCTTAATAATTCAGTCCAGTACAAAGCAGTCTATATGAGGGATATGGGCAAAGCCTTGGAAAACCCTGTTCACAGATAAACGTATGAAAAAAACATACAGATATTTACAGAGCAGTTATGCCAGTCGTTGATATCGTGTAAATGTTTGACCATCAAACATGAATAAAATGCCTTTGCTTCAGACTCCAGTGTTCATACATTGCCCAGATATTGTTTTAGTAACTGAGATATGAGCGACAGCTTCCACGGCTGATTCCGAACTCTCTATTCTAGGCAGTACCTGCATTCGAAATGATAGTCAAGAGAGCCGTAATGGGGTCAGTTGCATCTACGTTAAGCAAACACTTACATTTCTGACGCTGGATCTCCCGCATTTTTCTGATGTTGGAGGCAGATGTTGACTCAAAGATGCTTTCATAAATAAGTTGTCTTTAATCCTTGGCTGCGTCAATCGCCCCCCAACGCCAATGAGAATTTTGATCGTTGTCCTCAGTGGCATTTCATGCTGCCGCCGACTTAAGTTTTAAGTACCAATTGGTTGCGGATGACTTCGCTGGTCTCTGCCTTCCGGCCCCAGGAGGTTCGAAGACTTTCTTCAGGCTGTGGATGTTGGGCTGTGGACTCTG